TGTAGTTCTCACTTGGTATATACTATATGAAATTAAAAAAAAAAAAAAAAGGGACTTGTTTAATCTAAACTCTGTAACACCCCATTTCCACATTAAGGTTTTACGGGCTCATTTTCTTCGTCTTCATCATTTTCTCTTTATCTATGGTAGACTTGACACCATATGTGAATGACAAGGCTACTTCAAATTTTATCTCTTTTGTTTTATTAAATTATTTTTATCTTAATATCTTCCTCATTATAACTGTACTGTTCATTGTTCTATAATCTTGATACTCTGGGATGAAAAATCATGTGTCTGAGTTAAACTCACATCAAAGCAGCATCATTATATAATGATGATGCTAAGTTGTATGAAAAATACCTACTGGGTATGCTCCATTAGTCACTAATTTTCAAACTTAAAGTCCTGTCTTTGAAAAACTCCTCTCCCCCACACCACTGACATGGCTCCTCCATTTGAAAAATGTACTGCCTGTATAAAGTGAATTTAAACATAATATAGATGCTGAGTATTATTTTGTTTAAGTACAAGAAAAAATCAGAACACATAAAATTTTATATCTTTATAATAAAAACAATTATAGATATGCTTATTTTATTTAAAAAATTTTAAAAAGCAATGCATTTTGGTTTTTAACATGCTATTTAACATAATAAAGGAAGTAGATTATTTAATTTGGAAAATTTAACGTTGAAAAATGGTTTGTTAACCTCTTGAATCTACATTATTTTGATACATGTGTGAAATGAATGTATTTCCATCTTAGATACCAATATTTAAGTGGAGATGCTCCTTTGTTTATTTCCAAATATCTTTTATGTGTTTTATTTTAGTGAGTTTTGTTTTTTAATTGATTTCTGAGAGAAAAAGCGAGAGAGAGAAAAACATCAATGATGAGAGAGAATCATCAACCAGCTGCCTCCTGCACCCACGCTATTGGGGATCCAGCCCAAAACCCAGGCATATGCCTGACTGGGAATCATACCATGTCTCCTGGTTCATGGGTCCATGCTCAACCCTTGAGCCATATCAGCTGGGTTCAAATGTCTGTTAGTTACTGATTTCTAAGAATTCCATTGTGGTAAAATAAATATATATATTATTCACTATTTCAATCCTTTTAAATTCATTGGGACTTGTTTTATAACCTAGTGTATGGACCATATTTTGAAAAGTTCCATATGTACTTAAAATAACGTATATTCAGCTATTGTTGAATGGAATGCTCTGTATGTCAAATAGGTCAAGTTGGTGGATAGTGTTATTCAATTCTTCTATATTCTGATTTTCTTTCTACATGCTCTATCAATTCCTAGAAGGAAGTATTAAAATATCAAACCATAGTAATGCATATTTTTATTTCTACTTTAAATTTTTTCAATATTTGCTTAATATATATTCAAAATTTTCTTTTTTTAATTAGATGCATATACATTTAGGATTGTATATGTGCTTGATGAGTTGATTCCTTCTTTAATAAAATTACCCTCTTTAGCCCTGGTAATTTCCTACTTATAAAGTTTAATTTGTCTGATATTAATATACCCTTTCCAAATTATGCTTGATGTTACTCACATGCAATGTATGTTTCCATCCTTTTACTTTTAACCTTTCAGTGTCTTATATTTAAAGTGTATAATTTTTTAGACAATTAAACTTGAATCTTATGTGTTTAGCTAATATGATTATATCTCTTTTTTAATTGGGCTTTTAGTCCATTTATATTTAATATAACTTTTGACATGGTTGAATTAGGTCTACATAATTGATATTTTTGCTAGATAGAGAATTCTGGGTTCATTTTTTTCTTTAAGCAGTATATATTTTCTGGCTTTAATAGTTTCTAAAGAAATGTAAGAGTTAACCTTTTATTTCTTACTTCCTGAATGCTTTGATCTTTTATCTTTATCTTTAATTTTCTTTTCTTTTTTTTTTAATATATTTTATTGATTTTGGACAGAGAGGAAGGGAGAGAGATAGAGAGTTAGAAACATCGATGAAAGAGAGTCATCGATCAGCTGCCTCTTGCACACCCCCTACTGGGGATATGCCCGCAACCAAGGTACATGCCCTTGACCGGAATCGAACCCGGGACCTTTCAGTCCCCAAGCCGACGCTCTATCCACTGAGCCAAACCGGTTTCGGCTATCTTTAATTTTCTTTGTCTTAATTTTCAGAAACTGACTACAATGTACCTAGATATGGTTTCTATGTATATATCTTTTGAGGGTTTCTTTGAGTTTACTAGATCCGTAATTTATGTTTTATACCAAAATGACCGTATTATTTTTATACTTTTTATGAGTTAAGTACACTCCCCTCTGTTAGCTAATAAGTTAAGCTATAGTAATACCATGAGACTGTGGGAGCCCAAGACAGGCTGCCCCAAAATATCCCACAATGGCGTAGTGATTACTTTAACGTTACTTGAGAAGCAGCTGGAGCAGTAGGGAATCTTGACCTTTGTCTCCTTGAATTCAGAAAACAGCCCTCTATGTTAAAGGTGTCCTCACTGCACCTCGGAGACATCCTTTGTCACTAGAATTAAACAACTCAGAGCCAAAAAGTCTGTAATCAATTCCTATGGCCTCTTTTCTAATTTATTATTTTTTTTCACATTCGTCACTAAAACACACACACACATGCACATACACAACAAAAAACAAAACAAAACCTCATTCAGATTCCTTTATATGAACATTTTCTTTGTCCTGTCAATTTCTCAAATCTATTATGACATTGTCAAAATAATACAGAAAGGTGCCTGGTTTGATCACTTCCTTGAGTCTCATTTTATGATCTGAGCACCAACCATACTGTGATCTCCAATACACAAATGTCAAATTGATGTTCTTCCAGTTCAACTAGTCTTGTGTCAATTTTATTATTTTATTACTAGACCAGACACAATTCTTCCCCTTCCTAATAAGGAAGAAATCCCTGAAAAGTACATGCCAAAATTTTAGCAATTGGTTGGAAAAATGGCCAAGAATTATTTATTGAATGTTCAAAGCATTCCTGGAATATCAAACCTAAATTGGTCAGCCTGTTATTTGCAGGTGTAAGAAAGATCTTATTTTATCTCTTGTCTCTCACAATCTTCCTCTGAGATTATTTAATCTCAGTAACGGAGACACAAAAAACTGCCCAGGTATCCTGGATAAGAGCAGTCCCCCTATTGCCTATATATGTCCTCTCCACGTGTTTCGGTCTCCTCTTCCATAAATGGGGAACTATGATAGCATCTCCTAGTGTTCTTTGAGAATAAATGTACATATATTTTTTTGTTTTCTATCAACAGATACTTTTATTTTTTTTTGCTTTTTTTAACTTAAATTTTTTTTATTGTTTTAAGTATTACATAAGTCTCCTTCCCCTCTCCCCCATTGATCACAATACCAGATATCAAGCTATATTACAAAGCCATGTTCTCAAAACTGCCTAGTTCTGGCACAAGAACAGACATGTAGACCAATGGAACAGAACAGAGAATGCAGAAATCAACCCAAACCACTATGCTCAATTAATATTTGACAAAGGAGGCAAGAGCATACAATGGAGTCAAGACAGTCTCTTCAATAAATGGTGCTGGGGAAATTGGACAGATACATGCAAAAAAAAAAAATGAAACTAGACTATCAACTTACACCAGACACAAAAATAAACTCAAAATTAATTAAGGACTTATATGGAAGATGGGAACCATAAAAATCTTAGAAGAATCCATAGGCAGTAAAATCTCAGACATATGTCATAGCAATAGCTTTACTGATACAGCCCCTAGGACAATGGAAACTAAAGAGAAAATAAACAAATGGGTCTACATCAAAACAAAAGCTTCTGCACAGCAAAAGAAACCATCAACAAAACAACAAGAAAGCCCACTGCACAGGAGAATATATTTGCCAATGTTATATCCAATAAGGGCCTAATCTCCAAAATGTATAGCGGAGTCATACTTCCTAAAAAGGAAGATAAACAATCCAATCAAAAAATGGGCAAAGGACCTAAATAGACACTTTCAAAAGAGAACAATACAGAAGGCCAAGAGACATATGAAAAACATACTCAAAGTCACTAATCATCCAAGAGATGCAAATAAAAAAAACAATGCAGCACCATCTCACACCTGTCAGAATGGCTATCATCAACAAATCAACAAAGGACAAGTGCTGGTGAGGATGCAGAGAAAAGGAACCCTCGTGCACTGCTGGTGGGAATGCAGACTGGTGCAGCCACTGTGGAGAACAGCATGGAGTTTCCTCAATAAAAGGTTTATTTGCTTTTTAATAGAACAAGGTGATGTGGGTTTGCTTTGGGAGGCCATGTTTTATAATACTGTAATATTTCCAAGGGTAAAATATTAATTTGAAAAGATTTAAGTGCCTTTAATAAAGTAGTCTTCACATAGTCAATATGGGTTTCTAAAATAGATCAGGGTCTTAATTTAAGACAATTGAGCCACTGGAAGTTTTTTACTGGGATGGAGGAATAGTAACATTTCACAGCCTCTGGAACATATTTACATTCGAATGCCAAAATGCTTATTTCTCACAAAGAGTCATCTCCAGATCTTAGAGGAACTAGCCTTTTGCAAAATGGAAGGGGAAAGAAAACAGTTAAATAAATGTGAGTGTCATTTTCACTGCATACTCACACAAAAGGAACACCAGGCAACAGTTGACAGTATCTTTTAAACAGCTGAGACCTATCTGCAAAGCCTGAGGATTTAAAAATGTATATTCATACCAAATGAATTTATTAAAATCCATCCTGGGGTTTGTGAGAAGTAAGTTCATTCTCCTTGTCCCCCAAAGTGTGCGTGGTGTATACGCTACCTTGCCGAATTCATCCTTCATGCCGTCGCAGTTTATGAAAGAGGTTAGAAATGTATAAAACTCTGGTGGGATGTGGTGTGAAAGCTTCATCACACTACCCATCGTTTGCTTTTCAATCTAGATCAAAGCGATGCTGCCTCCTTCCCTGCAATCACCTACCTGCACAGCTAGGATTTTCTGAATGTTCTCCTGAGATTCGGCCTGGAACTGGGCCAGCCTCATCCGGCTGAAGAGGACCACCAGTTTGAGGTACTTCTGCCACATCTTGTGTATCTTTCTCTGCAGCTGACAGAGCTGAAGGGAAGGGGGCGGGGGAGGAACACAAGTCAGAGCAGGAGAGGAAATTAATGGCAGTGTTCAAGAAGAATGATGGAGGGAAATATAGAAAGCAGTCAATAGCCCACTCCGCAGCGGGCAGACCCGACAGGAATTTCACAGTCTCTTGGCTTTTCAGCCCACTCATGTGCATTCATCAGAAACCAGTCACATCTGGCCGCCAGGATGGGGGGTTAATTTTCTCTAAATGCCTCAGCAGTTTTGTTCTAGCTGAGGCAAACTCTGTGACTGCAAAGCTGATGAGTAAAATATTTCTACTTCACCCAGTTTAACTCAAAACCGATAGCCTCGGGACATATTGAACCTTTCTTTAAAAAATATATATATTAAAGCTGTTTTGAATGGCACATCAGGTCAAGCCAAAGTTTAAAAATGCAACTTGGAGACTTTGATGGACACCGTGGCTTCTTTTCCTCCTCATAAAGCTTACCGTGGCTTGGCGATGTGTGCTTCAGAGCGTGACAAAACTAAAGAGAATTAACTCAGCTATCAACTGCTGGGGGAGAACAATAACAGGAAGAAATTTCCAGCTAGGAGTCCCTATTAATCTACCTCCCTCTGACTGCGTGGCATGGAACATCTCACTGCAGCAAAGTGCAGTGGAAGCAACGCTTAGCACGGAGCCTATTTGCAGAAAGGGAGACTTCCCCGGGGGCGGGGGGAGGAGGGCATTCCATTCCTTCGGGAAGTTATTCTAACACCAGCCAAACACAAAGCACTGAAGTTCAATCAGGACAACATTTGTCCTTCCACAGTTAGCACACTCACGCCAAGCAGAAATGCTAGAATTAGGTTGTTTTCAGAGAAGTAGACTCAATACAAATGAATGGTAAATAAAATCCATATAAAAGTTACATGTAATATATTCTGTCACTGAAACCTCATTTGGATCTGGATAGTGTGGATAATTGTTTATGTTGATTTTTGGTGTGTTTTGTAGAATAATAAACACCAAAAATTTCATATCAAGCATTTCTTCATAACAAAATAAAACATGTCATAAAATATAGCTACTGTGTGTTCTCTTATTAATCTGGGTACTGGCTGTAAGTAAGGGATCCTTTGTGAAACTGCATTGGGCAGTGCACATATAACTAGTACTCTCTCTATATGCATACTTCAATAAAACAGTTTACTTACAAATATCACCTTTAAGAAGTTACCTGGTGTTCCTGTGGTTCATTATCATGATCTTCACTATGCATTATAATAAGCAACACATAGGTATTAATGTAAGTTTGCTCACAGTAAATTGAAGTTTCTATTCTTGGTTAATCAGTTAATTTAGGAAGAAAATATAACCTTAAAAACTATTAATATTTAAGCTTGCTAAATGCTTCAATACATTACCTGGAATTCGTTGATGGGCATACCCAATAATTTAGGCTATTGGGTTGAGGAGTAACAACACTTGTTGAAGAGAAAATTTGGCAATATAAATGTTAACTTCTATAATATTTTAACATCTATTTATAGAAAGTATTTTAATAGTTTCAATATGATGTTGAAATATTTTTCTGCCAACTCTGACAGCCATGAGGGGAAGGTATGCTTTATCTTAATGTACTCATTAAAACATTAAGACACCTTCATCTATGTATCACACAATTATTATGTGCCCACAAATACAACAAAAGGCAAATGAGAGAAAGGTGAGCTTTAGAGGAACACCTTAAAGGGAAGATAAAGTTTTCAAGTGGCAGATCTTCAATGAGTGGGAGGTATTGTGAGGGTAGCTCACCAACCGAAGGGAACTGAGTGGCAATATCCCCTACATGCGCACTCACAGGGGGAGCAGCGGCTGGGACAGCCAGTCCAGCTTATGCAGCTTTCTGAATTCTAGCTTGAGGTAGCTACAAAGGCCTTTAATTAGTCCACATGCAAATATTAATGGCAGCTGCTTAAGTAGAGAAGTTCCTTGAGTATCAACTAAGAAAGAATAGTGTATCAAAAAAAATATTTTTTGGGAAATCTACAGTGCCCTGGAAAAAGAACCAGGAAAGGAAAAACAAACAAACAAACAAACAAATAAAACATGAAGAAATTCTTAAGAAAAGTTCAGCATCCAGTAAAAGTCACATATGCACACATACATGATAATGGAACATACATATAAAATATGATCAATAATATGTAGAGAAAATATTTAAGATGCCGAGAAAGATGGCTGACAAAGAACTGGCCACGATGACAGCTATACTTGGAAAGTAGGTCTGATAAAAACCCAGTAATAATATGTCAGCAGACAGTGGTCACTCAATAAATACTTTTAAAAATAATCCCATAAAGTGAACATGGAAAAATTTAGTGGCAAAAATGAAGACTTTAGGAACTTACTAATTAGTGGGACAAGAGAAAAATAAAGCAGCGATGGAAAAGACACACACAAAGGATACACATCCTGCAGGTGACGGCAGAAATCAGGTGGAAAACCAAAGGAACTGGAATGCTTTTGATCTCTCCACCTCAATTAGCCCAGTGTTTTTCGAATGAAACCATCCAATGATTGCATTCCTGAAATATAATCATTTATTCTTAAAATGGTCACATTCCTGCCCTCTGACCTCAAATTTAGATAAGGTGAGGCAGGTGGGATGTGGGAGGAAGTGGTAGAGAAACAAAAAGGGACACAAATGCACTGGATTTACTTCCAATGATAGAATTTGGAGCCATTGGCAGATAAACTGAGCTGCTGCTTAACCCCAAACAAATATTGCAAGAACTCTGGCAGAGAAAGGACATATTCTCGATGAACTACTAAGGAGCATATTAGAACAGGAAAAGTCATTTAGAAAAAGATCCTCAATTGCCCTCAATTTTGTTTTATGAAAGAGAGTGGGGAGATTCCATTTTATCAGGAAAGCCGGGCCGGGAAACAGTTGGTGTGTGCTCTGAGCCATTTGCAGTGGCAAAAAGGAATTGGAAGCGTTTTCTGACAGTGGTTTCTGACCAGTTTGAATTGGCAGTAGCCCTGCGAAGCCTGGCTCTCATACTTGCTTTCTGAGCTCCTTGCTGAAGGAAGCCCAAAGATGGAATCCACTGATCCTTCGTTCAAGATACTGATCACTATGTACCTACGTATTCATGAAGAGAAAAATCAATCAATGCCCATTGACAGGGTGTGGAGAGATACAAAGAGTTGGAGATTTTGTGTCAAAGTGAGCAATCCCTAAAACATACATTTGTGAACACTGTATACAATATACATCTATATATTTGGTAAAAATATGTTCTGTAGATTTGAGGAGGCTCCCATGACATTCATTACGGTTTTAGAGCTTGATACTGCTTGACAGTAAAGCACGGGAAATTAATGTGTTGACGTTCAAGAATGACTCTCCATTTCCTATTTTAAACTCTTAATTATATGAATTCTGTTTTTCATTCCAGTTATTTTGCTTGCCTATATAAACTCATTATAATTGCTAACTTTTATGTAACATAAACCTGGCTTTAATACTAATGTTATATATAATGCATATATTATGACATACAAAACCTCTCACTACATGAATCTATATTTATGTTATTTTTTGCTGTTATGCATGTGAAAATTAAAAGAAGAGTAAAATGACACTATTTTATATTCAAATTACAAGTACAAGTTTCAAAACTATTAGGGCTTACCCATAACCATACTAGTATTAGTACCAAAATATTGCCTTACACTTTCCCTTGTGCTCAGTATTGAAATAAAAAATGTCAAAGCATCACCTTTTCAGGTATTTTCCAGAGCTGGGCTGCAGGGGAAAATTTTCTGGTTATGTTATGAAAGACACAAATAAAGGAAAGCCTTACTATATCTAGTCCCAAGGGACAATTGGGGCACAATGCATAAGAAAGAGGGGAACAGAGCTGAATTATATCTGTTGCTTACTGTGTCTGAGAAAAAAGTGTTCATAGGTGTGATTTTAAAAATAGGCCTTCAAGTCATATGCTATTGCTTCCTTTAAGAAGTGAAACAGAATTCGTCCCTTGAATGTGGGCTGGACTTAGTCACTTTCTTGTAAAGAACAGAATACAGCAGAAGGGACAGTATGCTACCTCTCTCTCTCTCTCTCTCTCTCTCTCTCTCTCTCTTTCTCTCTCTCTCTCTCTCTCTCTCATAGCTTCTGTCCTGGGTTGTTTTCTCTGTTTCTAGAATTAGATCCTTTGATCTGGGGGAAGCCAGCTCTCATGTTCAGTGGACGGCTCTGTGGAAAGACCCACGTGGTGAGGAACGGAAGCTAGTTTTGGCAGACAGCCTGTGCATCATCTTGCAAGCAGAACCCAAGCTTCTCCAGGTGGCTCCACCTGACCCACAACTGCACTGTGAGCTCTTGGGAGACCTCATGCCAGCATCACCCAGCTTAGCAGTTCCTGATGTCTGGCCCTCAAAAACTCTGAGAAAATAAATGTTGGTTGATTTAAGCTGCTTGAGTTTGGGGCCACTTGTTACGCAGCACAGTTAACAATGGATTCCTAACTCTTTTTGCAGACAGAGGGGAGAACTGACCCTCCCTATTTTCTGACTGGAAAGTAAAGTGCTCTTCTAGCTCACCGGCTTAAGCCTGAAACTGAAAATGATTTATTAGTAATAAGAGGGTGATTAATAATTACCTATTGATTGATGAAATACAGTTTGTAGCATCTAGGAACTCATTATTTTAATTGAAGACAGTAAATAGGGACTATAATTTAATAGTTCCAGAAATTTAAAAATGGTTCATTATCAACAAATATTTTCATGTAACACATCAATATATTAAGAGAAGATAATCATCCCCAAAAGGAGTTGATATGAATCAACACTGAACAAAACCAATCAACAATGAGAAATTATCTAGTTATAGGAACAGGAGGAAATTTATTTAACCTCATAAAGACTATAAATCAAAAACTCCCTATAAATATTTTACTAAATGGAGACACTTTAGAAACATTCCCATGAATGCCAGGGAAAATAAAATCAGGATGTC